AAATCAGCGTCTGATCAGTTTCAGCAGCAGCTGACTTGGGGTTATTAAGTTGAATCTGTATGTAAGTCAGAACCTGCGGTCAGTTTCAGCAGCGGCTGAATCTGGACGCCAGTTCCGACTTACATACAGATTCAACTTAAGAACAAACCTACAGTCCCTATCTTGTACGTAACCCGGGGACTACCTGTAATTACACCCAGAAAAATGTATTAGCATAGTGACTTTGCTAATAAACAGAGCAGTCTGACAAATCTGTGCGTCCTGTGTCTGACTTTGACACCAGTTTCAGCAGCGGCTGAATCTGGACGCCAGTTCCGACTTACATACAGATTCAACTTAAGAACAAACCTACAGTCCCTATCTTGTACGTAACCCGGGGACTACCTGTAATTACACCCAGAAAAATGTATTAGCATAGTGACTTTGCTAATAAACAGAGCAGTCTGACAAATCTGTGCGTCCTGTGTCTGACTTTGACACGAGACACTTGCCGACTCCATCATATTCCCGGAGGATCTCCACACCGAGCGCTTCTCCACCCACACCCCTGATGCAGGCGTCCCCCTCCTCAATGAGTGGGCAACCACCAGTAAGCCCAGGACCGACAACATTTTCCCCAGAGCTGCCTTCTCCATTTCGGCAGAACTGCCTTCTCTATCTCGGCACCACCAGCGACCGAGACACAGTATCTCTCCACATCAAGACACGGTTATTACAGACGCTATTGATCACAGTCTCACTGCTGCTCTCATCGCAGGTCCCAGTCACGGAGATTCCCCCTCCTATTCTCGGGATTCCAGATACAGGGACGACTACAGGCGCTCATATTATTCTAGATATGATGACCGCTGGCACCTACATCACGAGTACCGAGACCACTATTCCTGTTTGATTCGTTCATCACCGTTGCCAGCTCCATCACGTCTCACTCATGGCAGGAGTAGAACCTCTACTTCAGCGGCACCCAGACCACCTACTCCATTTGGCGACTTACCTCCCATGCAACAGCCCATAGCGGAACTACCACAGGTCCCCAAAGTAGAGGCACCACAACAATTCTCTCCCACAGATGTGGCTTCCTCTTCTCCAGACGATGTCATCCTCACTGGAGATATGTCACCCTCCGATGACCTGAAGGAGTTCCAGGACCTTTTCTGCCAGGTAGCGGATACGCAGAGCGTGAAGCTCACAGAAGTCCAACAGAAACAACACCTATTGCGCAACCTGTATCCTCTTTCCCATGCTTCTAAAGTCACATTGCCTCTGGATGAGGCTATATTCGAAATTGCCAATGCCATCTGGCAAACACCTGCCACGGCCCCACCAATGAATAAAAAGGCCGATAAGAAATATTATGTCCGAGCCACAGAGATGGAATACCTGTTCACCCATCCCCAACCGAACTCGGTGGTGGTGGACACAGCGCAACAACACACCAAAGCTCCACAATACAAGGCAACTACTGGAGACAAGGATAATAAACGCCTTGACCTGGTCATGCTCAAAGTTGACTCTTCAGCCACCTCCATCCTCTGAATGGCCAATTACTCTGCGTTGCTGGCCAACCATAACTTCGACAACTATGCGAAGTTAGTCCAGCTGCTTGAACACCTGCCAGACACAAAATGCCAGCTGCTCAATGCCATTATCCAGGAGGGCTACGTGGCTTCCTGTTCGGCACTGAACATAGCCCTCAATACAGTGGACGCAGCAGCTAGAATGACGGCAACATCTATTGTTATGCGCAGGGCTTCGTGGCTCCATATGTCGGCAGTCCCCAGGGAACTTCAATCTAAAGTTGAAGATTTGCCTTTTGACACTCGGGTTAGTTGCAGAGAAAACAGATCAACTTCTCCATTCTGGTAAGGACTCACGTACAACCCTGAGAACCTTAGGCATGTATACTCTGCCATACCGCCACAAGAAGTATACACTTTATCAGAAACGGAGACCGCCCCGTCCCCCTTTGCGCAGACATAATATAAACAACAATGCTCTAAGCAACATCCTCAAAAATGATGTCCACAGACTCCCAGACCTACAACTCAGCCACAATCCAAGCAGCAAGTTTGACGTGTTGCTCAAGGATTTGCAGACTATTCCAACTCTTTCTGCTGCAAATGCCAACACCGTTCTTTTTCACCACCGCCTCCAGCCCTTCCAACATCGCTGAGCTGCAATAACAGACAAATGGGTCACGCAGCTCATAACAATGGGCTACGTAATTCCCTTCACATCCCATCCGCCTACCATCCCTCCCTCCCCATCCCTTTTCGGGGACCCATCTCATGAGCTCCTCCTCAGTCCACCTCTTGTTTATCTCCTCAGCATTGGCGCTATAGAGAGGGTGCCTTTACCCTTCCACGGCAGGGGATTTTACTCCCGCTGTTTTCTAACACAGAAAAAGTCTGGTGGCTGGAGACCTATATTAGACCTCCGCGGCCTCAACCAATACGTACAGAGGCAACAGTTCAAAATGGTAACTCTCATACCAGCATTGCAGCAAGAAGACTGGTTTGCATCCCTCGATTTTGCAAGATGCTTATTTCCACGTCACAGTCCACCCTGCCCACAAGTGGTTTCTTCGCTACCTCGTAGGTTCTGAACCCTACCAATACAAAGTTCTGCTGTTTGGTCTTTTGTCAGCACCAAGGGTGTTCTCCAAGACAGTTGTGGTCATGGTGGCCTTTCTGTGATGCCTGGGAACTATAATCTTCCCTTACTTGGACGACTGCCTCCTCAGGGCTCGCTCCTTCCACAAGGCTTCTGTCGTGGTGTCCACAAAAGATTACTTTTCGACAGTTAGAATGATTGTCCCTCATTCCTCAACAGACTATAGATTTTTATAGGCGCTCGTCTAGATTTGGTGATGGCACACGCCTACTTCCCCAACAACCAGACTCAGCATGATCCAAGATCTGGTTCACTTCCTTACTACGAGGCCCCACAGTTCCGGTTCTCA